TATATCTATATCTATATCTATATCTATATCTATATCTATATCTATATCTATATCTATATCTATATCTATATCTATCTATCTATCTATCTATCTATCTATCTATCTATCTATCTATCTATCTATCTATCTATCTATCTGAGGCAAAAACTTGAGCTCAAGGCCAGCTCGTGTTAAAAGGTTTCTCCCCACTCAAGCTGTTTCGCTTTATTTTCATTATTCATGCATTTTAATTTATTAATTTTTAAATCATGCCATGTTGTGCACACAATTTCCTGAATGGCGCATGGAGAGATTCACCCAAGTACAGAAGAAAAATACCCTGAGGTATTGCTCTTCCTTTCCGACATTAAATCTAAAACAGTTTGTTCAGTAGCCATTCAAAGTTACAACAGCAGTGAAAAACATGACTTATGACTGTTTTTTTCACATTTATGACCTTTGCAGCATCCCCATGACCATGTGGAAAACTTCTGATGCTTGGCAACTGGTTCTGTTCTGACCAAGGCTTCCTGAGACTGTAATTAAGCACATGCTTAGTCCAAACAACTCTTGTTTTATTTCAGTGCTGGGAATTATGTTCATTCCCAGCCCGTAATGAGTCCCAAACAGTCCCTCGAGATAAGCACCCACCTTTCTCTCCTTTGAATTGCTGTCAACAACTAAAGTGCCAAATGAATTGTAAAAAACCAACCGAAGTACAAAGTCCACACAGAGCTTCAAGGTATAATCTGAACAGAGTGAACGACTTTGCTTCCTGCAAAGGTTTCTCTACCTTTGCATTTCCTTTATACCTTATGGGAGGGGCAGTCACCTCCAAGCCTTACTCCCGAGTTGCCTCTTTTGTCTCAGCTGCTCTAGCCTTCTAGCAGCTCTGCGCATACGTGCACTGGGAACAGGCTCCCCTTGTTCCTCTGCCTCACTGCTACCAGACTCCGGAGTCAGCACATAACTCCCAGATGGTCCTGGCCCCATCTCTGCATCAGAGTCCTCTCCAGACTCCCAAACTAGTCCCCGTTCTTCCCCACTGTCCGATTCTGCTGCCGTCTGCACAGGCTGCCTGCAAACCACAACACATCAACTGAAAAAAGTGACTTATGACCGTTTTTCACCCTTATGGCCATTGCACCATTCCCATGATCACAATATCAACATTCAGATGCTTGCTCATATTTATGACACTTCGCTTTGGTGCTGACTTTGCAGGAAGGCTGTGCCTTGAGCTAAGTGCCGAAGCAGCTCTGTGTCCAGGTCCTTCACCACTCCCTGGGCCTAAGAAGGAAAAACAAGTACCTCAATAGAGTTCCAGGACAGGATTCAGGGAATTCTCAACTTAACAACGCGGAATACTGCATCCAGTTTTGGTCGCCACACTATAAAAAAGATGTTGAGACTCTAGAAAAAGTGCAGAGAAGAGCAACCAAGATGATTAGGAGACTGGAGGCTAAAACATAGGAAGAATGGTTGTAGGAACTGGGCCTGGCTAGTCTAGTAAAGATCAGGGGAGACATGATAGCAGGGTTCCAATCAGAGGTGGGTATTCAGCAGGTTCTGACCAGTTCTGGAGAACCAATAGCGGAAATTTTGAGTAGTTTGGAGAACCGGCAAATCCCACCTCTGATTGTCCCTGTCCCCATCTATTCTCTGCCTCCCGAGTCCCAGCTGATCGGCTGGGTCTCCTTTGGTTGCCCTGCACAGGAGAACGGAGCTGGAAAGCAGGTTAGTGGGGTGGGGAGGGAATGGGGATTTTGCAGTATCCTTCCCCTGCCATGCCCACCAAGCCATGCCACGCCCACCAAGCCACACCCACAGAACCGGTAGTAAAAAAAATTGAATCCCACCACGGGTTCCAATATTTGAGGGGCTGCCACAAAGAGGAAGAAGGGGTCAAGCTATTTTCCAAAGCACCTGAAGGCCTCCTGCTTGGGCGGAGGGTTGGATTAGATGACCTACAAGATCCCTTCCAACTCTGATTATCTGTCTGTTATCTGTAATATTATTTTGTTAAACTTTTATCTGATGCCAAGTTTATATTAGTAATTACTATATTGCCCAGACTATTGATTGCCCAAACATGGAAATTAAAAGAAATACCTAATGATGAAATAATAATTTAAAAAAATTATATACTGCACTAACCTAGATAGCTTAACATTGGAACTGAAGGAACGAGATACTTCAGAATTCTATGAAATATGGGGAAAAAATATAATTGGAGGGCTATGAAAGGAAGTCAAAAAATGTAAAATAAAAATCAGAGTTTATACTACAATAAAATGCCTAAGATGGAAATGAATATGAAGAATTATAATGTAAAAATGTATATAGATGTACAAGTAGTCCATTTATATATATACACACACACATATATATAAATGTTATATTGTTTGATGACATTCTGATAATATAATAATGTAAAGACTGCTGATATATGTCAAAAGATCAGCACATTCAAATGTTTTTAAACCTTAATTTTCAATAAAAAATTTTTTAAAAAAGAGATTGGACTGCCATCTGTCAGAAATGGTGTAGGGTCTCCTGCTTGGGCGGGGGTTGGACTAGATGACCTCTACGGTCCCTTCCAACTCTATAGCTGTAACCTGGAAACGGCGGCCAAGAAATCAGACTCCCCGCCTGCAGGTTCTGATCGACCTGCACGTGGTCCGACGGCCTCGCCTCGCCCCGCCCCCTCTCCGAGCTTGGCTCCACCCTTACTCCCTTGCCCCTCCCACGTCCCTCAACACCGCCCTCCGTCCGCCGGCGCTCGCGCCCTCCCTTCCATCTCCTGAGGTACGGATTGGCAGGCTAAGGCTCCTCCCCCATTACGGCACCGGCGCATGCGCAGTGCCTCCGTCGGCCCCTGAGAGGAAGCGGCTTGTGATGGAGAACGGAGGCGGCGGCGGCGGTCAAAGTCGGTCTCAGCCCGGGGGCTCGACGCCCGGCTCCGGTGACGACAAACTGAGGGGGCCCTGGAGCAAAGACAAGAAGGACCCTAACGCCCCCACGGCGGACAAGGAGCAGGAGCTGGTGAGAGGCCGGCGAGGGAGCCGCAAAAAGCCGCGCTGAGTCACGGCCAAGGCCCGGGGCCGGGAAAACGCGCCTTAAGCCGGCGCTTCTCCGGCCCCTCATCCGCAGCCCGGGCTGGAGATCCTACGCGGAGCCCTTCCTCCCTCGCCTTCCCGCCTCGGCCAGGGCTGGTAGAGAAACTCGAGTGCCTCTGAGCATGTGCAGAGTGTCTCCCGGGATCTGAACGGGGTGTGAAGCCGCTTGGGTTAGACTTTGGGCCGGGTCGCTGACACTGGGCCCAGCCCACCTCACAGGGTTGTTGTTAGGGTGAAAACAGGAGCCTTGTGCATATTTGCCGCCTTGAGGTAGCTAATAAAGATAATCGGCGGCATACAGGTAGTCCTCGACTTACGACCACCAACGTTTGTGTTGCCAAGGGAAACATTGGTTATGGGGGTGTGTGTGTATGTGGTGGGGTTTGGCCCCCTGTTACGACCTTGCTTGCCACAGTTGTTACGGGGAATCGCTGCCGTCGTTAAGTGAGTCCCACGGTTGTTAAAGCGAATCCGGCTTCCCCATTGACTTGGCTTGTCGGAAGGTCTCAGAAGGGCGTGACACCACCCCCCACCCCCGACGCTGCAACTGTCTTAAATAGTCCGTTGCCAAGAGTCTGATTTTGGATCACATGACCGTGGGGATGCTGCAAACTGGTCATAAGGGTGAAAAGGGGTCAGAAGTCACTTCTCGCAGTGATGGAACTTTTGAATGGTCACTAAACGAACTGTGGTAAGTTGAGGACTACTGGTAGATAAATAAATAAAGGATCTCGTTTTCTTCGCCCGGAAAGGGGTAGTTGCAAGGCTGCATCTTTAGCAACACCTGTTCTGGCAGGCCTCTTCGCGGGATCAGTGAGTCCTCCTCCTCCTCCTCTTTCCCCTCTTGACAGAACCAGGTGAATGGCCAGTGAAGTTTGGGCAGGTGGGCCAAGCCCCAGCCCATGTTGCGGAATAGGCGTCCTCAAGAGAGCAGCAAAATGAGTGTTTGGATGGGGATGATGACAAAAGAGCTGCCCTTTTAAAGGAGACCACCCCCCCCCCCTCCATGTTGGCAATCAGCTTGAAAGCCATAGGATTAATAAATTAAATATATTTATTTATTGTGATGTTTATATAGTGCATATTGGAGGTGGGGACCCTTTGAGAGCTGTATGCAACGAAATGTCATTTGAATGTATGCCGATTAGTGTACATTTAAAGTGACAAAAGTTATTCTAAGCCTTAGATTCTAAGGCCCTCTTTGGTGACCGGCGCATTTCCAAATCTTCAGTGGTTTGCCCAGAATTGCCACCCTGGAGAGTTAAACGGAGACCTTGCCATTAAAAACCTGTTACTGAGATCAACAGAATAACAGCATCAGAAGGGACCGTGGAGGTCTTCTAGTCCAACCCTCTGCTCTGGCAGAAAATCCTATACCATTCCAAACAAACGGTTGTCCAGACTCTTCTTAAAAGCCTCCAGTGTTGGAGCACCCGCAACCTCTAGAGGCAAGTTGTTCTACTGGTTAATTGTTCTCACTGTCAGAAAACTCCTTAGTTCTAGGTTGGTTCTCTCCTTGATTAGTTTCCATCCGTTGTTCCTTGTTCTGCCTTCAGATGCTTTGGAGAATAGCTTGACTCCCTCTTCTTTGGGGCAGCCCCTGAGATATTGGAAGACCGCCATCATGTCCTCTCCAGTCGTTCTTATCATTAAACTAGACATACCCAATTCCTGCAACAGTTCTTCATATGTTTTAGCCTCACAGTCCCATAATCATCTTTGTTGCTTTTCTCTGTAATCTTTGTACAGTCTCAACATCCTTTTTATATTGCAGTGACCAAAACTGAATGCATTTAAAATGTGGTGGTGGCTTATGGGAGATTAGAATAACAATAAGGGGCAGTTCGGATGCTTCTGAGTGCTTTTGTGGTTTGGCTTATTTGCTAGATCTGCCTGTAATTGAAAGTAATGCTGGCATTTGTGATGTTAAGCCTGTAGTTTGTTATTTTTCTCAGTTGGCTCCATTCTCTCACTGCTTGAATTTCATGTTTCTATTTTCATTTGCATATATTTATGATTAAATGTAAGTTACGGTGCCATCGTCACCTTGCTGTTGAATTGCTTTGTATTCCTGTTTCATCCATCAGTTCAGTTACAGTTCAGAATAATTGGAAAATTTAGGCTTTCAGAGAGGCCTGGATTTTTACATTTTTTCCTTCATTCCTTACAGTCTGAAGAAGACAAACAACTACAAGATGAGCTGGAAATGCTTGTGGAACGCTTGGGAGTAAGTTCTCTTTTTTTACTGTAAATTTGTGGGATATCAGAACATACTATTTTACTATATTCAGGAAATACAGAGTTTCATACAGTAATAAAGCACAGCCTGTACTATATTGACAATCCTATGTATAATACAGGTAGTTGCTGATTTACAGCCACAATTTAGCCCAAAATTTTTGTGGCTAAGTAAGATATTTGTTAAGTGAATTCTGCCCCATTTTATGACCTTTCTTCTTACATTGTTAAATGAATCGCTTTCTTTTAACAACCCCATAATCCCTTGTGGGGTGGATGGAGCTGACTGTTTAGTGGCCGGATGCCCTTCCTGTTGCCAAAGTGGATACATACATTCTCATTGTGCCCAGAGAGAGAAACATCTGCCTTTACCTAGCATCAAATTCACAGCCTCCTGATTGTAAGGCAAGAGCTCCACCTCTAGGCCACCGTACCACTCTGTTAAATGAATCACTGCAGTTGTAACATTAGTAACAGAGTTGTTAAGTGAATCTGGCTTCTTCATTGAATTTGCTTGTGGGAAGGTCTCAAAAGGTGGTCACATGACCCCAGGGCGCTGCAACTGTCATAAATATGAATCGGTTGTCAAGCCTCTGAATTTTGATCATGTGATCATGGGGTTGTTGCAGTGGTTGTAAGTGTGAAAAAATGGTCATAAAGTCATTTTTTTCAGTGCAGTTGTAATTTTAAACAGTCACTAAACAAAGTTTAGGACTTTGTTTAGTGACTGTATATTCTTTCTGATAACAGTAGCGTGCATGTTGTTGGTTCTACCCTATTCTCATAATAAAATTAATTCTCACTATTTACGAGTGTTGATCCATCCAAAACACCCACTTGCTGTTTATAACAATGTTTTTTTAAGTAAAACCGTCAAGAGTGTACAGATAGTCCTTGACTTGTGAATGTAATGGACCCCAGAATTTTCATTGTAAGTCATGATGATTGTAAGTTGAAGCACCTCTGATGACTGGGCCCAGTTTTATTACTTTGTAAAGCAGATGTTTTGATTGGTTCATGCTGGCCATCAATCTAAAACTTCATTTGTCTCATTTTTTTTTGTTTCAAATCTATATATATTAACTGCATTCTTAGATGATCTCCAAAGCAGGACAAAATAAAATGGGACAATTACCATACGCTTTATTCCTAAAAGGGAGGGTCTCATTAAAGGAACTTCTGAGAAGCAGCCTAGATACCTTCCTATTTGACAGTGAAGAGAATAACGTGGAAGAAAGCTCTCAGCATATTTCTAACATTTGTGAGGTTCTTGGTTGTTTTTGACTGACTATTGTGTGACCAAGAACAGCATGGTGGCCTAGTGGTCAAGACCCTCCCTTCCCACTTTGGATGTTGAGAGTTCAATCCTAGTAGCAAATGTTTCTTTCCTAGGGCTCAAAGAAAAAAAAAAAACATCTGTTGCATCTGGTCAGTAAATGCTCAGCTCCATCCAATTGCCTTGACTCTACCCAAATAGGGATATCATAAAAAGGGAGAGTTTTTTTAATCGTGTGACCAAAAATGGTGGACTAAATGGAACAGTTGCCTGATCCCTCAGGACTCTTCTTAAAACAGCTATGCCTGTTTCTAGTAAATATTTCTCTTAGTGCAGGTCCCATAGCAAAAGTACGAGTTGGTTCATACTGGCCATATTTAACCGGAGCAGCAATTCTGCAGGGAGGGATTGGCAGGTCGATTTGTGTTTGCTTCCTAATAACAACCGATCTGATTGCAGGAGCAAGACACGGCTCTTTATCGTCCTGCCCTGGAGGAACTTCGCAGGCAGATACGCTCTTCCACAACCTCCATGACTTCTGTACCCAAGCCCTTGAAGTTTCTGCGGCCACATTACGGCAAATTGAAAGAGATCTACGAAAACATGGCCG